GCGAAATAGCCCTTTAAACGTACATTTGACAGATACGCCCGCACTGACTTTTTTGTAGATCTTATTGAGATACACGTGTGTGTCAAATTTTGTGTCATTTTGACAAAGCGTACAGGCGTGACACTCAATCATGTGAATTTTTCACCTTAGGGGGCGCTATGGAGCCATTTTGCATTTGATTGTTTGGGTGACTTCAGAATATCGAATTTTTCACCAGGCCCAGTCGTCCTGCCAAATTTCATGAGTTTTCACCAGTGGGAAGTGGGCCATTTTCCAGTTCAAAGGGGCAGAAAAATAATAAGAAGAAGAAGAAGAAAGAAAGAAGAATCCATCAGGAATAATAGGGCTCTCGCAGCTGCTTAGCAGCTACGCTCGGGCCCTAAGAACTAGGACCCCGTTGGGGCACTGGCGGGCCCGAGCCGTGTCGTGTCTCCCCCCCCCAACGTGCTGCCTCCCCGTCCCATTTGTGTCCTCTGGCCATCGCCCTCTCTGTTAACGCCCATCACTGCAAAGACCCTTTTCCTTCATCGGCGTTTGCTGTTCTTCCTGCCAGTGCGTGTTGCTTTCACTTACACTTGCCACAGCCAGCCTCGTGAGTGCCTAGCCTATTGGATATCACTGTCACCTACACAGGACAGTCATTACCTTTCTATTAATACTTTGTGTTTTAATTTCACATTAATTTCCATATTGTATAAACGACTGGAAAAAACTTGAGCCCCTGCCCCTGTATAATCATGTGCATGTCTCTGTTCTAGCTCCAAGGTGAATCTTCACTGCTCATGTTCTCCTCAGAAGCACTCACCTCACTCCCCTCAGGTTACTGTACACATGCACCAACTGCCTGCTTCAGGTTTGGATGGAGCTTCATGGTTGTCTTTTGGAGAAATGACCAGTCAAGTTGTGTTTGAAATTTGATTTTTTTCAGGGGCAAAAGGAGCCTCTGCATTCTTGTCAAATATGTAAATAGCATGTTTTTGCAGGTGCTAAAAACCAGACTCTGAGTGTGTGTGTGTGTGTGTGTGTGTGTGTGTGTGTGTGTGTGTGTGTGTGTGTGTGTGTGTCTATGTGTGCGTTCAAGTCACATGACATATTTAACCGGATGTAGCTGCAAGACGGAGCCTCGTTGACTCTCCGTTTCAACTTATCTCAAAAGTGAGGACCTCAACCTATATACCAGTTTTTAAATTGTGTTGATAGGCCAAATAAAACCAGAGTTATGATAAATTATGTCCGCGATACTTTTTTTCTGCTTATTTTGATCACGTTCGGCGCTCGATCGCGCTGTATGAGACAGGAAAACATAGCATGCAGACATTAGCGACAGGTCTTACAGGCGGAAAAGGCTTGCCAAAAGAAAAAAAAACACACCACAACATCTCTCCTATTGGTGGAAAACTTCACCACAACAACCAATCCAAAATTATATGGTGACTGATTGACAAGGGGCGGGCGCTTACGTTCTTCCTGCAACATGAGAAGGGAGGGAGGGACTCTCAGCAGGGATGCAGTCTGGGACACGTAGTTGCAAACCTAGCGACTTTGTTGTTAGATTCAATGACTTTTCAGACACCCTAACGACTTTTTTTTAGAAAGAAAGGGACTTTTATCGACTTCTTCTGGAGTTTAGAGACTCTGACATGAAGCAGGCTTTCCTTACTGAGGAGTTAGCAACGCTGCTAAGGGTGCAGAGCCACACATGCGCTCAGAGCTCTGCATGGGAGACTGAAGCTGACAGAGCTGCAGCAGTTAGCAGGTTTCACCCTCAGAGACCACCAGGGGTTCATGTTGAGGCATTTTAATTTTTTTTTTTTTTGTGCCATAGACACTGTCAGCACAATCTGCAGTTACACTAACAAAAATGCTGCAAAAAACAAAGAATTATGGAAAAATTACACATGGACTGACATAGAGGAGGATCTACACAAGTTTTTTACATCATGTTTTACATCATGCATCATTTACATCATGTTTTTTTGTAGTGGCATAAATAAAAAGTGACATTTGTGAGACTATACAGTGTTTTGTAAATAATTTTACAAAGAACGCCTGGGCCATTGCCTGCATTTTGATGTAAATAGAGGTAAATTACTATGTTCTTTGTTAAAAATTTGCATATGTTTTGAAGTTTACAATTTTTATTTGAAGTTTAAGTTTTAAAAACAGTTCATCACACATATTTGTGGTTTAATTTCACATTAATTTCCATATTGTATAAATGACTGGAAAAAACTTGAGCCCCTGCCCCTGTATAATCATGTGCACGTCCCTGTTCTAGCTCCAAGGTGAATCTTCACTGCTCATGTTCTCCTCAGAAATAGTCACCTCACTCCCCTCAGGTTACTGTACACATGCACCAACTATCTGCTTCAGGTTTGAAATGGAGCTTCATGGTTGTCTTTTGGAGAAATGAACAGTCAAGTTGTGTTTGAAATTTGATTTTTTTCAGGGGCAAAAGGAAGCCTCTGCATTCTTGTCAAATATGTAAACAGCATGTTTTTGCAGGTGCTAAAAAACAGACTCTGAGTGTGTGTGTGTGTCTGTGTGTGTGTGTGTGTGTGTGTGTGTGTGTGTGTGTGTGTATGTTGGCGTGTGTGTATATGTGTGTGTATCCTGCAGTACTCTGTACTCCTGCAGTGGCCAAAAAGACTTTTAAGAATGTGGATTTTTGGGTCATCTTTGGCGCCCCCTAGAACTGCAGTACTCTGTACTCCTGCAGTGGCCAAAATGACTTTTAAGAATGTGGATTTTTGGGTCATCTTTGGCGCCCCCTAGAACGTAAACCGTGGGGTGCAGCGTCATGATTTTTACAACTTTGAATGGGCATGGGGTGTAGATTGCCCTGAGCAAATTTGGTATCGGTGGGACGAAAGCCTTAGGAGGAGATAGCCACATTCCAATGTGTGCGAATCGGCAAAAAATGCAAAATAGCCCTTTAACCGTACATTAAACAGGTACGCGCTCTTTGACTTTTTCGTAGATCTAATTGAGATACACATGATTGTCAATTTTTGTGTCAATATGACAAAGCGTTCAGGCGTGACACTCAACAATGTGTATTTTTATGTAAGGGGACAAGAAAAAATTGACTTTTTTCTCCTACCATGGGGAGGCGCTCTTTTGGGGAGTAAAAATTCCTTCACAAATGTGTTGATGGCTGGACATTGCATCATCCTAGAAAACTTGGAGGCCAGTGAGGACAAAAATAAAAAGTTATAAAACATTTAAGAATGTGGATTTTTGGGTTATTTTTGGCGCCCCCTAGAACCTAAACCATGGGGTGCAGCATCATGATTTGAATAACTTTTAATGGCCATGGGGTGTAGATTGGCCTGAGCAAATGTGGTGCCGGTAGACAGAAAGCCTTCGGAGGAGTTAGCGAAATTCCAATGTGTGCGTATCGGCAAAAAATGCGGAATAACCCTTTAACTGTACATTTGACAGATACGCGCGCATGGACTTTTTTGTAGATCTTATTGAGTTACATGTGTGTGTCAATTTTTGTGTCATTTTGACAAAGCGTATAGGCGTGACACTCAACAATGTGTATTTTCACCTTAGGGGACAAGAAAAAATGGACTTTTTTCTCCTGCCATGGGGGGCGCTCTTTTGGGGAGTAAAAATTCCTTCACAAATGTGTTGATGGCTGGACATTGCATCATCCTAGAAAACTTGGAGGCCAGTGAGGGCAAAAATAAAAAGTTATAAGACTTTTAAATATGTGGATCTTAGGGTTATCTTTGGCGCCCCCTAGAACCTAAACGGTGGGGTGCAGCGTCATGATTTGAATAACTTTTAATGGCCATGGGGTGTAGATTGGCCTGAGCAAATGTGGTGCCGGTGGAACGAAAGCCTTCGGAGGAGTTAGCGAAATTCCAATGTGTGCGGATCGGCAAAAAATGCGAAATAACCCTTTAACCGTACATTTGACAGATACGCCCGCACTGACTTTTTTGTAGATCTTATTGAGATACATGTGTGTGTCAATTTTTGTGTCATTTTGACAAAGCGTACAGGCGTGACAGTCAATAGTGTGAATTTTCACCTTAGGGGGCGCTATGGAGCCATTTTGCATTTTCTTGTTTGGGCGACTTCGGAATATCAAATTTTTCACCAGGCCCGGTCGTCCTGCCAAATTTCATGAGTTTTCGCCAGTGGGAAGTGGGCCATTTTCCAGTTCAAAGGGGAGGAAAAAGAAGAAAGAAAGAAAGAAAGAAACAAAGACTAGGGCCCCGTTGGGGCACTGGCGGGCCCGAGCCGCGTTGCGCCGCCCCCAGTGCGACCGCCTCCCCCTCCCGATCGCGTCACACTCAAGGTCCAAAGATTGTGTGCGCACTTGTCTGTGGTCATTTCCCATTATAATGAATGGGAGGCGCAGTTTCTACCAAAACACTCGCTGCAGACAAACTACATGTCCTATTTGAAAAAAGTCTGGACCATGAGTGAGGGCACAAACACAGCTAGGATATATCCAAACGGCAAGTTGCTCCTCGTTACGGTGTTGCCGGGAGAGCGATGCGATTGAGCCATTGAGTGATGGGCAGGAAAAACTTGACTGTTTCTCCTGCCATGGGGGATGGGGGATGGGGGGGGGGGAAGGGATGTGGATTCTTTTAAGAATGTGGATATTTGGGTCATCTTTGGCGCCCCCTAGAACGTAAACCGTGGGGTGCAGCGTCATGATTTTTAAAACTTTGAATGGCCATGGGGTGTAGATTGGCCTGAGCAAATTTGGTGTCAGTGGGACGAAAGCCTTAGGAGGAGTTAGCCACATTCCAATGTGTGCTAATCAGCAAAAAATGCAAAATAGCCCTTTAACCGTACATTTTACAGATACGCGCGCATTGACTTTTTCGTAGATCTTATTGAGATACATGTGTGTGTCAAATTTTGTGTCAATATGACAAAGCATACAGGTATGACAGTCAACAATGTGTATTTTCACCTTATGGGACAAGAAAAAATGGACTTTTTTCTCCTGCCATGGGGGGCGCTCTTTTAGGGAGTAAAAATTCCTTCACAAATGTGTTGATGGCTGGACATTGCATCATCCTAGAAAACTTGGAGGCCAGAGAGGACAAAAATAAAAAGTTATAAGACTTTTAAATATGTGGATTTTAGGGTTATCTTTGGCGCCCCCTAGAACCTAAACCGTGGGGTGCAGCGTCATGATTTGAATAACTTTTAATGGCCATGGGGTGTAGATTGGCCTGAGCAAATGTGGTGCCGGTGGAACGAAAGCCTTCGGAGGAGTTAGCGAAATTCCAATGTGTGCGGATCGGCAAAAAATGCGCAATAACCCTTTAACCGTACATTTGACAGATACGCGCGCACTGACTTTTTTGTAGATCTTATTGAGATACATGTGTGTGTCAATTTTTGTGTAATTTTGACAAAGCGTACAGGCGTGACAGTCAATAGTGTGAATTTTCACCTTATGGAACAAGAAAAAATGGACTTTTTTCTCCTGCCATGGGGGGGCGCTCTTTTGGGGAGTAAAAATTCCTTCACAAATGTGTTGATGGCTGGACATTGCATCATCCTAGAAAACTTGGAGGCCAGTGAGGGCAAAAATAAAAAGTTATAAGACTTTTAAATATGTGGATTTTAGGGTTATCTTTGGCGCCCCCTAGAACATAAACCGTGGGGTGCAGCGTCATGATTTGAATAACTTTTAATGGCCATGGGGTGTAGATTGGCCTGAGCAAATGTGGTGCCGGTGGAACGAAAGCCTTCGGAGGAGTTAGCGAAATTCCAATGTGTGCGGATCGGCAAAAAATGCGAAATAATCCTTTAACCGTACATTTGACAGATACGCCCGCACTGACTTTTTTGTAGATCTTATTGAGATACATGTGTGTGTCAATTTTTGTGTCATTTTGACAAAGCGTACAGGCGTCAGGTGAATTTTTCACCTTAGGGGGCGCTATGGAGCCATTTTGCATTGTATTGTTTGGGCGACTTCAGAATATCAAATTTTTCACCAGGCCCGGTCGTCCTGCCAAATTTCATGAGTTTTCGCCAGTGGGAAGTGGGCCATTTTCCAGTTCAAAGGGGAGGAAAAATAATAATAACTAGGGCCCCGGTGGGGCACTGTCGGGCCCGAGCCGCGTCGCGCCGCCCCCAGCGCGACCGCCTCCCCCTCCCGATCGCGTCACACTCAAGGTCCAAAGATGGTGTGCGCACTTGTCTATGGTCATTTCCCATTATAATGAATGGGAGGCGCAGTTTCTACCAAAACACTCGCTGCAGACAAACTACATGTCCTATTTGAAAAAAGTCTGGACCATGAGTGAGGGCACAAACACAGCTAGGATATATCCAAACGGCAAGTTGCTCCTCGTTACGGTGTTGCCGGGAGAGCGATGCGATTGAGCCATTGAGTGATGGGCAGGAAAAACTTGACTGTTTCTCCTGCCATGGGGGATGGGGGATGGGGGATGGAGGATGGGGGGGGGGGAGGGGGATGTGGATTCTTTTAAGAATGTGGATATTTGGGTCATCTTTGGCGCCCCCTAGAACGTAAACCGTGGGGTGCAGCGTCATGATTTTTACAACTTTGAATGGCCATGGGGTGTAGATTGGCCTGAGCAAATTTGGTGTCAGTGGGACGAAAGCCTTAGGAGGAGTTAGCCACATTCCAATGTGTGCTAATCGGCAAAAAATGCAAAAATAGCCCTTTAACCGTACATTTGACAGATACGCGCGCATTGACTTTTTTGTAGATCTTATTGAGATACATATGTGTGTCAATTTTTGTGTCAATATGATAAAGCGTACAGGCGTGACAGTCAATAGTGTGAATTTCCACCTTAGGGGACAAGAAAAAATTGACTTTTTTCTCCTGCCATGGGGGGCGCTCTTTTGGGGAGTAAAAATTCCTTCACAAATGTGTTGATGGCTGGACATTGCATCATCCTAGAAAACTTGGAGGCCAGTGAGGACAAAAATAAAAAGTTATAAGACTTTTAAATATGTGGATTTTAGGGTTATCTTTGGCGCCCCCTAGAACCTAAACCGTGGGGTGCAGCGTCATGATTTGAATAACTTTTAATGGCCATGGGGTGTAGATTGGCCTGAGCAAATGTGGTGCCGGTGGAACAAAAGCCTTCGGAGGAGTTAGCGAAATTCCAATGTGTGCGGATCAGCAAAAAATGCGGAATAACCCTTTAACCGTACATTTAACAGATACGCGCGCATTGACTTTTTCGTAGATCTTATTGAGATACATGTGTGTGTCAATTTTTGTGTCATTTTGCCAAAGCGTACAGGTGTTACACTCAACAATGTGTATTTTCACCTTAGGGGACAAGAAAAAATTGACTTTTTTCTCCTGCCATGGGGGGGCGCTCTTTTGGGGAGTAAAAATTCCTTCACAAATGTGTTGATGGCTGGACATTGCATCATCCTAGAAAACTTGGAGGCCAGTGAGGGCAAAAATAAAAAGTTATAAGACTTTTAAATATGTGGATCTTAGGGTTATCTTTGGCGCCCCCTAAAACCTAAACCGTGGGGTGCAGCGTCATGATTTGAATAACTTTTAATGGCCATGGGGTGTAGATTGGCCTGAGCAAATGTGGTGCCGGTGGAACGAAAGCCTTCGGAGGAGTTAGCGAAATTCCAATGTGTGCGGATCGGCAAAAAATGCGAAATAACCCTTTAACCGTACATTTGACAGATACGCCCGCACTGACTTTTTTGTAGATCTTATTGAGATACATGTGTGTGTCAATTTTTGTGTCATTTTGACAAAGCGTACAGGCGTGACAGTCAATAGTGTGAATTTTCACCTTAGGGGGCGCTATGGAGCCATTTTGCATTTTCTTGTTTGGGCGACTTCAGAATATCAAATTTTTCACCAGGCCCGGTCGTCCTACCAAATTTCATGAGTTTTCGCCAGTGGGAAGTGGGCCATTTTCCAGTTCAAAGGGGAGGAAAAAGAAGAAAGAAAGAAAGAAAGAAACAAAGAACTAGGACCCCGGTGGGGCACTGTCGGGCCCGAGCCGCGTTGCGCCGCCCCCAGCGCGACCGCCTCCCCCTCCCGATCGCGTCACACTCAAGGTCCAAAGATGGTGTGCGCACTTGTCTGTGGTCATTTCCCATTATAATGAATGGGAGGCGCAGTTTCTACCAAAACACTCGCTGCAGACAAACTACATGTCCTATTTGAAAAAAGTCTGGACCATGAGTGAGGGCACAAACACAGCTAGGATATATCCAAACGGCAAGTTGCTCCTCGTTACGGTGTTGCCGGGAGAGCGATGCGATTGAGCCATTGAGTGATGGGCAGGAAAAACTTGACTGTTTCTCCTGCCATGGGGGATGGGGGATGGGGGATGGAGGATGGGGGGGGAGGGGGATGTGGATTCTTTTAAGAATGTGGATATTTGGGTCATCTTTGGCGCCCCCTAGAACGTAAACCGTGGGGTGCAGCGTCATGATTTTTACAACTTTGAATGGCCATGGGGTGTAGATTGGCCTGAGCAAATTTGGTGTCAGTGGGACGAAAGCCTTAGGAGGAGTTAGCCACATTCCAATGTGTGCTAATCGGCAAAAAATGCAAAAATAGCCCTTTAACCGTACATTTGACAGATACGCGCGCATTGACTTTTTTGTAGATCTTATTGAGATACATATGTGTGTCAATTTTTGTGTCAATATGATAAAGCGTACAGGCGTGACAGTCAATAGTGTGAATTTCCACCTTAGGGGACAAGAAAAAATTGACTTTTTTCTCCTGCCATGGGGGGGCGCTCTTTTGGGGAGTAAAAATTCCTTCACAAATGTGTTGATGGCTGGACATTGCATCATCCTAGAAAACTTGGAGGCCAGTGAGGACAAAAATAAAAAGTTATAAGACTTTTAAATATGTGGATTTTAGGGTTATCTTTGGCGCCCCCTAGAACCTAAACCGTGGGGTGCAGCGTCATGATTTGAATAACTTTTAATGGCCATGGGGTGTAGATTGGCCTGAGCAAATGTGGTGCCGGTGGAACAAAAGCCTTCGGAGGAGTTAGCGAAATTCCAATGTGTGCGGATCAGCAAAAAATGCGGAATAACCCTTTAACCGTACATTTAACAGATACGCGCGCATTGACTTTTTCGTAGATCTTATTGAGATACATGTGTGTGTCAATTTTTGTGTCATTTTGCCAAAGCGTACAGGTGTTACACTCAACAATGTGTATTTTCACCTTAGGGGACAAGAAAAAATTGACTTTTTTCTCCTGCCATGGGGGGCGCTCTTTTGGGGAGTAAAAATTCCTTCACAAATGTGTTGATGGCTGGACATTGCATCATCCTAGAAAACTTGGAGGCCAGTGAGGGCAAAAATAAAAAGTTATAAGACTTTTAAATATGTGGATCTTAGGGTTATCTTTGGCGCCCCCTAAAACCTAAACCGTGGGGTGCAGCGTCATGATTTGAATAACTTTTAATGGCCATGGGGTGTAGATTGGCCTGAGCAAATGTGGTGCCGGTGGAACGAAAGCCTTCGGAGGAGTTAGCGAAATTCCAATGTGTGCGGATCGGCAAAAAATGCGAAATAACCCTTTAACCGTACATTTGACAGATACGCCCGCACTGACTTTTTTGTAGATCTTATTGAGATACATGTGTGTGTCAATTTTTGTGTCATTTTGACAAAGCGTACAGGCGTGACAGTCAATAGTGTGAATTTTCACCTTAGGGGGCGCTATGGAGCCATTTTGCATTTTCTTGTTTGGGCGACTTCAGAATATCAAATTTTTCACCAGGCCCGGTCGTCCTACCAAATTTCATGAGTTTTCGCCAGTGGGAAGTGGGCCATTTTCCAGTTCAAAGGGGAGGAAAAAGAAGAAAGAAAGAAAGAACTAGGGCCCCGTTGGGGCACTGGCGGGCCCGAGCCGTGTCACGCCGCCCCCAGCGCGACCGCCTCCCCCACCCGATCGCGTCACACTCAAGGTCCAAAGATGGTGTGCGCACTTGTTTGTGGTCATTTACCATTATAATGAACGGGAGGCGCAGTTTCTACCAAAACGCTCGCTGCAGAAAAACTCCATGTCCTATTTGAAAAAAGTCTGGACCATGAGTGAGGGCACAAACACAGCTAAGATATATCCAAATGGCAAGTTGCTCCTCCTTTCGCTTTTGCCGAGAGAGCAGTGCGTTTGAGCCATTGAATGATGAACAGGAAAAACTTGACTTTATTCTCCTGCCATGGGGGGGCGCTCTTTTAAAGAGAAAAAACTCCTTCACAAATGTGTTGATGGCTGGACATTGCATCATCCTAGAAAACATGGAGGCCAGTGAGGACAAAAATAAAAAGTTATAAGACTTTTAAATATGTGGATTTTAGGGTTATATTTGGCGCCCCCTAGAACCTAAACCGTGGGGTGCAGCGTCATGATTTGAATAACTTTTAATGGCCATGGGGTGTAGATTGGCCTGAGCAAATGTGGTGCCGGTGGAACGAAAGCCTTCGGAGGAATTAGCGAAATTCCAATGTGTGCGAATCTGCAAAAAATGCGAAATAACCCTTTAACCGTACATTTTACAGATACGTGGCCATTGACTTTTTCGAAGATCTTATGTAAATACACGTGTATGTAAAATTTTGTGTCAATACGACAAAACATACAGGCGTAGCACTCAACAATGTGTATTTTCACCTTAGGGGACAAGAAAAAATGGACTTTTTTCTCCTGCCATGGGGGGGCGCTCTTTTGGGGAGTAAAAATTCCTTCACAAATGTGTTGATGGCTGGACATTGCATCATCCTAGAAAATTTGGAGGCCAGTGAGGACAAAAATAAAAAGTTATAAGACTTTTAAATATGTGGATTTTAGGGTTATCTTTGGCGCCCCCTAGAACCTAAACCGTGGGGTGCAGCGTCATGATTTGAATAACTTTTAATGGCCACGGGGTGTAGATTGGCCTGAGCAAATGTGGTGCCGGTGGAACGAAAGCCTTCGGAGGAGTTAGCGAAATTCCAATGTGTGCGGATCGGCAAAAAATGCGAAATAACCCTTTAACCGTAATTTTGACAGATACGGCCGCACTGACTTTTTTGTAGATCTTATTGAGATACATATGTGTATCAATTTTTGTGTCAATATGACAAAGCGTACAGGCGTGACAGTGAATAGTGTGAATTTACACCTTAGGGGGCGCTATGGAGCCATTTTGCATTTTATTGTTTGGGCGACTTCAGAATATCGAATTTTTCACCAGGCCCGGTCGTCCTGCCAAATTTCATGAGTTTTCGCCAGTGGGAAGTGGGCCATTTTCCAGTTCAAAGGGGAGGAAAAATAATAATAATAATAATAACAAAAGAAGGAAACTACAGGAACAAGAGGGCTCTCGCAGCTGCTTAGCAGCTACGCTCGGGCCCTAAAGAAACAAAGAACTAGGACCCCGGTGGGGCACTGTCGGGCCCGAGCCGCGTTGCGCCGCCCCCAGCGCGACCGCCTCCCCCTCCCGATCGCGTCACACTCAAGGTCCAAAGATGGTGTGCGCACTTGTCTGTGGTCATTTCCCATTATAATGAATGGGAGGCGCAGTTTCTACCAAAACACTCGCTGCAGACAAACTACATGTCCTATTTGAAAAAAGTCTGGACCATGAGTGAGGGCACAAACACAGCTAGGATATATCCAAACGGCAAGTTGCTCCTCGTTACGGTGTTGCCGGGAGAGTGATGCGATTGAGCCATTGAGTGATGGGAAGGAAAAACTTGACTGTTTCTCCTGCCATGGGGGATGGGGGATGGGGGGGGGGTGTGGATTCTTTTAAGAATGTGGATTTTTGGGTCATCTTTGGCGCCCCCTAGAACGTAAACCGTGGGGTGCAGCGTCATGATTTTTACAACTTTGAATGGCCATGGGGTGTAGATTGGCCTGAGCAAATTTGGTGTCAGTGGGACGAAAGCCTTAGGAGGAGTTAGCCAAATTCCAATGTGTGCGGATCTGCAAAAAATGTGAAATAACCCTTTAACTGTACATTTTACATATACGTGGCTATTGACTTTTTCGAAGATCTTATTGAAATACACGTGTATGTCAAATTTTGTGTCATTTTGACAAAGCGTACAGGCGTGACACTCTACAATGTGTATTTTCACCTTAGGGGACAAGAAAAAATGGACTTTTTTCTCCTGCCATGGGGGGCGCTCTTTTGGGGAGTAAAAATTCCTTCACAAATGTGTTGATGGCTGGACATTGCATCATCCTAGAAAACTTGGAGGCCAGTGAGGGCAAAAATAAAAAGTTATAAGACTTTTAAATATGTGGATTTTAGGGTTATCTTTGGCGCCCCCTAGAACGTAAACCGTGGGGTGCAGCGTCATGATTTGAATAACTTTTAATGGCCATGGGGTGTAGATTGGCCTGAGCAAATGTGGTGCCGGTGGAACTAAAGCCTTCGGAGGAGTTAGCCACATTCCAATGTGTGCGGATCGGCAAAAAATGCGGAATAACCCTTTAACCGTACATTTGACAGATACGCGCGCATTGACTTTTTCGTAGATCTTATTGAGTTACATGTGTGTGTCAATTTTTGTGTCATTTTGACAAAGCGTATAGGCGTGACACTCAACAATGTGTATTTTCACCTTAGGGGACAAGAAAAAATTGACTTTTTTCTCCTGCCATGGGGGGGCGCTCTTTTGGGGAGTAAAAATTCCTTCACAAATGTGTTGATGGCTGGACATTGCATCATCCTAGAAAACTTGGAGGCCAGTGAGGACAAAAATAAAAAGTTATAAGACTTTTAAATATGTGGATTTTAGTGTTATATTTGGCGCCCCCTAGAACCTAAACCGTGGGGTGCAGCGTCATGATTTGAATAACTTTTAATGGCCATGGGGTGTAGATTGGCCTGAGCAAATGTGGTGCCGGTGGAACGAAAGCCTTCGGAGGAGTTAGCGAAATTCCAATGTGTGCGGATCGGCAAAAAATGCGAAATAACCCTTTAACCGTAATTTTGACAGATACGGCCGCACTGACTTTTTTGTAGATCTTATTGAGATACATATGTGTGTCAATTTTTGTGTCAATATGACAAAGCGTACAGGCGTGACAGTCAATAGTGTGAATTTCCACCTTAGGGGGCGCTATGGAGCCATTTTGCATTTTATTGTTTGGGCGACTTCAGAATATCGAATTTTTCACCAGGCCCGGTCGTCCTGCCAAATTTCATGAGTTTTCGCCAGTGGGAAGTGGGCCATTTTCCAGTTCAAAGGGAGGAAAAAGAAGAAAAGAAAGAAAGAACTAGGGCCCCGTTGGGGCACTGGCGGGCCCGAGCCGCGTTGCGCCGCCCCCAGTGCGACCGCCTCCCCCTCCCGATCGCGTCACACTCAAGGTCCAAAGATGGTGTGCGCACTTGTCTGTGGTCATTTCCCATTATAATGAATGGGAGGCGCAGTTTCTACCAAAACACTCGCTGCAGACAAACTACATGTCCTATTTGAAAAAAGTCTGGACCATGAGTGAGGGCACAAACACAGCTAGGATGTATCCAAACGGCAAGTTGCTCCTCGTTACGGTGTTGCCGGGAGAGCGATGCGATTGAGCCATTGAGTGATGGGCAGGAAAAACTTGACTGTTTCTCCTGCCATGGGGGATGGGGGATGGGAGGGGGGGGGGAAAGGGATGTGGATTCTTTTAAGAATGTGGATATTTGGGTCATCTTTGGCGCCCCCTAGAACGTAAACCGTGGGGTGCAGCGGCATGATTTTTAAAACTTTGAATGGCCATGGGGTGTAGATTGGCCTGAGCAAATTTGGTGTCAGTGGGACGAAAGCCTTAGGAGGAGTTAGCCACATTCCAATGTGTGCTAATCGGCAAAAAATGCAAAATAGCCCTTTAACCGTACATTTTACAGATACGCGCTCTTTGACTTTTTCGTAGATCTTATTGAGATACATGTGTGTGTCAAATTTTGTGTCAATATGACAAAGCATACAGGTATGACAGTCAACAATGTGTATTTTCACCTTATGGGACAAGAAAAAATGGACTTTTTTCTCCTGCCATGGGGGGGCGCTCTTTTAGGGAGTAAAAATTCCTTCACAAATGTGTTGATGGCTGGACATTGCATCATCCTAGAAAACTTGGAGGCCAGAGAGGACAAAAATAAAAAGTTATAAGACTTTTAAATATGTGGATTTTAGGGTTATCTTTGGCGCCCCCTAGAACCTAAACCGTGGGGTGCAGCGTCATGATTTGAATAACTTTTAATGGCCATGGGGTGTAGATTGGCCTGAGCAAATGTGGTGCCGGTTGAACGAAAGCCTTCGGAGGAGTTAGCGAAATTCCAATGTGTGCGGATCGGCAAAAAATGCGCAATAACCCTTTAACCGTACATTTGACAGATACGCCCGCACTGACTTTTTTGTAGATCTTATTGAGATACATGTGTGTGTCAATTTTTGTGTAATTTTGACAAAGCGTACAGGCGTGACAGTCAATAGTGTGAATTTTCACCTTATGGAACAAGAAAAAATGGACTTTTTTCTCCTGCCATGGGGGGGCGCTCTTTTGGGGAGTAAAAATTCCTTCACAAATGTGTTGATGGCTGGACATTGCATCATCCTAGAAAACTTGGAGGCCAGTGAGGGCAAAAATAAAAAGTTATAAGACTTTGAAATATGTGGATTTTAGGGTTATCTTTGGCGCCCCCTAGAACATAAACCGTGGGGTGCAGCGTCATGATTTGAATAACTTTTAATGGCCATGGGGTGTAGATTGGCCTGAGCAAATGTGGTGCCGGTGGAACGAAAGCGTTCGGAGGAGTTAGCGAAATTCCAATGTGTGCGGATCGGCAAAAAATGCGAAATAACCCTTTAACCGTACATTTGACAGATACGCCCGCACTGACTTTTTTGTAGATCTTATTGAGATACATGTGTGTGTCAATTTTTGTGTCATTTTGACAAAGCGTACAGGCGTCAGGTGAATTTTTCACCTTAGGGGGCGCTATGGAGCCATTTTGCATTGTATTGTTTGGGCGACTTCAGAATATCAAATTTTTCACCAGGCCCGGTCGTCCTGCCAAATTTCATGAGTTTTCGCCAGTGGGAAGTGGGCCATTTTCCAGTTCAAAGGGGAGGAAAAATAATAATAACAAAAGAAGGAAACATGCAGGAACAAGAGGGCTCTCGCAGCTGCTTAGCAGCTACGCTCGGGCCCTAAAGAAACAAAGAAAAACCACTTGGGGAATAATAGGGCTCTCGCAGCTGCTTAGCAGCTACGCTCGGGCCCTAAAAACCACTTGGGCAATAATAGGGCCTACGCCCGGCTGCTCTGCAGCTGGCTCGGGCCCTAATAACAAAAGAAGGAAACATGCAGGAACAAGAGGGCTCTCGCAGCTGCTTAGCAGCTACGCTCGGGCCCTAAAAAACCACTTGGGGAATAATAGGGCTCTCGCAGCTGCTTAGCAGCTACGCTCGGGCCCTAAAGAAAGAAAGAAAGAAAGAAAGAAACAAAGAAAAACCACTTGGGGAATAATAGGGCTCTCGCAGCTGCTTAGCAGCTACGCTCGGGCCCTAAATATATTTGGGGTCTTCGGGCTTCCTGAAGGAAATACCCGGGTATGAGGTTATGGGGCTAGGGTAAGGTTTAAGGTTTTTGGCGTTAGGGTTAAAATCACTGTCCAAAACCTTTTTAGGAACATGTTTCAGACCTTTTGGAGTTGGTAACACCAAAAAAAAATGTAAAATGAAAAAAAAAATATTTGGGGTGTTCAAGCTTCCTGAAGGTAATACCCGGGTATTAGGTTTTGGGGCTAGGGTAAGGTTTAAGGTTTTTGGTGTTAGGGTTAAAATCACCGTCCAAAACCTTTGTAGGAACTCTTTTCCGACCTTTTGGAGTTAGTTAGACCAAAAAAAAAGAAAAAAGAAAAAAATATATTTGGGGTCTTCGGGCTTCCTGAAGGTAATACCCGGGTATTAGGTTATGGGGCTAGGTTAAGGTTTAAGGTTTTTGGCGTGAGGGTTAAAATCACTGTCCAAAACCTTTTTAGGAACATGTTTCAGACCTTTTGGAGTTAGTTACACCAAAAAAAAAGAAAAAGAAAAAATATATATTTGGGGTGTTCGGGCTTCCTGAAGGTAATATTAGGTTTCTGGGCTAGGGTAATGTTTAAGGTTTTTGGCGTTAGGGTTAAAATCAATGTCCAAAACCTTTGTAGGAACTCTTTTCCAACCTTTGAGAGCAAGTTAGACCAAAAAAATAATAAAAATAAAAAATATAGCCGGACAGTTTTGAGAAGGTATTTATGATTCCAAGCAAGCATGGCACAGATCTTCTGGGTTCGGAAACCAGTAATAAAATATCGTCCTCATATAACATCAACTTGTGGACCTTCCCGCCTATGGTGACCCCTGGGAAATCATTTGCTTTACGTATGGCTGCTGCTAGTGGCTCAATAGCTAAACAAAAAAGCAAAGGAGAGAGGGGTGACCCCTGTCTAGTTCCTCTGCCCAACATAAAGTAGTCTGATATGAGCCCATTAGTCTGAACTGCTGCTTCTGGATGTTTATATAACATACGAATCCATTTTATAAATGTAATACCAAATCCAAATTCTTCTAAGATTTTAAATAGAAACCCCCATTCTACCATGTCGAACGCTTTTTCGGCGTCCAACGAGATTGCAGCAACTGGGGACTGGGTGTCAGCCAGCGACCACATGACATCAATGAGGCGTCTTATATTATCGGAGGAGCTACGACCACGAATGAATCCTACCTGATCACTATGGATCAATGATGTAATTATGCTGTCTAAACGGTTTGCTAAAATTTTAGAAATTATCTTAACATCGATTTGCATTAATGATATCGGACGATAGTTCTTACATTCCTTCCAATCTTTACCTTTCTTAGGAATTAGACTAATGAGGGCCTGTCTCAAAGTGGGTGGCAACACCCCTCTCCCCAGCGCCTCCCTATATACCTCCAGTAAAGGTGAAGCTAGTTCCGAGGCAAAGCACTTAAAGAATTCCCCCGTGAAGCCATCCGGCCCCGGTGCCTTGCCTGTTGGCAATGCCTTAATTACCCCTTTAATTTCCTCAATAGTAATATCTGAATCAAGAAAATCCCTCTGTTCATCCGTCAGTTTTGGGAGTCCTAACTGTTCTATAAAGCTATGAATTTCTTCTTCATCAGAGGTACAGTTTGAACTATATAAATTACTATAAAATTCCTTAAAAGCCTGATTAATGTCTACCGTTGCAGTAAGCAGGTCTCCAGACTGCAATCTAATAGCAGGAATAGTGGAAGCCAACTCCCTCTGTTTTATATAACTGGCAAGTAGCTTTCCTGCTTTATCTCCTGACTCGAAATAGGTTTGTCTTGCCCTGAATAAGTTAAATTCAATCTTATGGGTTATTAAGTTATTGTATTGATATTTTAGTTTTGTCAATTTTTTCATGCCATTTTGTGTTAATTGTTGCTTCAGCTCTGTTTCAACCTGTTTTATTTTATTTTCTAATTCTAGCAGCTCCCGTGTTTTATTTTTCTTATTGTATGATGTGTGTTGGATTATACGTCCTCTAACCACTGCCTTTAGGGCCTCCCATGCCACGCCAGCTGATGATACAGACTGCCAGTTGATCTCTAAATAACTTTTAAGTTCGGTCCTCAACCATTCTGTATTTGCTGGGTCCTGTAAAAGTGACGAGTTTAGACGCCATCTATAAGACCTTCTTCTCTCATCTTGCGGTAACAAGTCCAAACTGACAGTAGCATGATCAGAGATCAAAATAGACCCTATTTCACATCTCACTGCACAGGGACTGAGCTCTTTGGATATTAGGAAAAAATCTATTCGGCTATAAATCTTATGTACTGATGAGTAAAAAGTATAATCCCTGCCTGACGGGTTCATGAGCCTCCAGATATCTATCAATCCTAAAGATTTGCAAATTCTTTGTAGTGTCAAAGCGGCTTTTGGCATTTTACGCAACATTGCCCCACTGTGATCAAGCACTGGGTCCATTAACAGATTAAAGTCTCCTCCATGAACAACGGGCTGAGCCCCCAGTATTTGTAACTTCCCTTCAAGATCAGAGAAAAAAGATTGATCATCCAGATTAGGAGCATATATATTGGCCAAAATTAGTTTCTGCAACTGTATTTCAGCCAGTACTATAATCATCCTACCTGTATTATCTCTTATTTGCTTGAGACACTTAAATTGTAGATGTTTACTTACTAAAATTATAACCCCTTTACTCTTGCTGGAGCCTACACTGTAAAAAACATGTCCAACCCATCCTACACAGAGCTTCTCAGATTCTTCTTTTGACATGTGAGTTTCTTGAAGAAACACCACATCATATTTTTTGGCCTTAAGGATGGCCATCACCTTTTTCTCTTGACGGGATTCCCCAAACCATTAACATTCCAAGTGGAGAGACGCATTAAATTTAATTGTGAAGACATGTCTGCCTAATCATCGATAACACATGGCCGTTTATCAAAAGCAATATCCTTACAGTGGTGGTGACTGTACCCCGCCCCCTCCCCCAAGAAAAGAAAATAATAATAATAATAAATAACACAAATTTAGTGCAATTAAACCTGAACTTTGCACATTCTAACCCCCTCAAAAGTCCCTCTAGCCGAGGTCTGACGGTCCGTGTCAGGTCCGCGTGGCTCCACTTGTCGTGATCCCTCACTCACCGCTACTGCACAGGAAAATAAGGCAACACCAGTGTCCTCAGCAGACGTTTGGGCGCGCAGGATACCAATATGAACACCTCCATCCATCAATACTCACTGCAAAGCATCTATGAAGGCCATGGCTTTCCGTGGGCACTCAAAAGCTTTCTCACCGCTGCCGGTCTCAATTCTCAGCTTAGCTGGGAACAGCATCCTGAAACCAACCCCTCGGTCGTGCAGTTTTTTCTTGCAATCTTTGAATTTCTCATGCTTCATCTGGGTGGCCCTGGAGTAATCGGGGAAAAGCATGACAGTAGTATTCCCCCAGGTCAGCTTGCCTTTGTTCCTCGCTGCTCTCATCACCGCATCCCGGTCCGACGATCTCAAAAACCGGGCCAGTATTGGTCTGGGCCGGTCGCCTGGCGCTGGTCTCTGGCTCGGGACCCGGTGGGCCCGTTCAATCTCCCGTCTCCCCTCGA